CTTAGTTCAGTTGCAGGCAAAAAGCTATTTTTTTTTTTTTTTAAGATTTTTGTAATTTTTATATATTAATTACACGTTTTTGGGGAGTAAGATGTTAGCATTTACCAAACTAATTATGAGTTACATATTATTATTAAACAAAAAATTATATATCTTTCCTATCTTTAGTTATCCTATATGGCATCATACAAGAAAATATGACTGTAAAAACCTGTGTAGAAATTTATGATTTTTTAAGATGTCACGTGACACAATCAGCTACGAGTTAAACTCACTTTGGGTGGAGAACCCTCAAACACACTAAGGAGGTAAGTTCCGTCCAGAAATTGCAAGGGTGCATAAAACGAATTTTAACCTATAGTTTCCTTTAAAAATATAGATATACTCCTCATAATGTATAGGAACGTACAATGAATTTTATATTTATTTAGAAATATTGTTTTTTACGAGTTGACTTTGTTTATTTATAGTGTTACTCATATATTTATTTATATCTGATTATGCTTATAAATAAATTAAATTTTTGTTATGCAATTTCTAAGACTATATTATTACATTTATTAAAAATCCTTAAAAATATCGATTTTTAAAGCATATACTAATATACCATTTCAAAGTTTGCTATTTGTGAAATTTTCATTATTATTGTGAAATTTCTTGCTACGAAGCCTGACACCAGTCCAAGATTATTGTGTATTTTTCTAATGGCTGTGTGTATTATCACCGTACAGTGATATTACTGATTCCATTATAGTCACCGCACAGTGAGAAGAACCTAACCTAACCTAGTCACCGCACAGTGAAAAGAACAATAGCTTTGTTATCACCGGTCGGTGATAATATGTTTTCCGGTATTTTCACCGAGAATCTAAAATAATTTATTGTTACTTCTCAATTGCCTTTATGGAATGGTGATAATAACGTCGTCGTCTGCAATATCACTGTTCGGTGATAATAGTCACTCCCTTTTCTAATATGGACTCCATTTGTCGAGTGTATAAATAATTGTATGAAAAAATTAAAATATATTCACGGCAGTCTATTACAAGGTGTGCGGAAACATCTGTATATGATAGATATGTTCATTACAGTAGTTTATACGACTATTATATAATATAAATTTTTAAATCATTAACAATTATAACTCAAAACAAAATTAAAAGGAATAATTAAGAAGTAAATGTAAAATTAAGGTCAAACTTACATAGTCTTTTAGGCATTTCTATGCTGTGAATTGCGGATTTGATATTAACTAAATATGAGCATAAGTTAATATCTATATACAAAGGCCGTATTTCTTAACAGTACTGTAAAAATTTATTTTTTTCAGTACTTTGTATCCGTTGACTCTATGTCTTCATTTCACTCTTATAAGATAAAACACATTCTTTTTATACTGAATAAATAGAATAAGTTTCAATACATTTTCTTTACAACGCGGTCATAATTCGGTCACTATTTATTAGAATTAGGAGACTTAATTTCTGCCAATTCAATCAAAAATTAAAATTTTCCAAATTTTCAGTAACTTTTAACATAAACTTATTCCCTTTTTTACCCTGTGGATTTTTCAAGTCTGAATGAGAGCTGACTTGTTGAAACCAGAGCTCGCGAAAATAAGTTCCTTTAGTTCAAACAAACAAACATTTATTTCCATTTTTGTACAATGGTTATTCTTCTAAAAGTAAAAGTAACTTATAAGTAGACAAGTAATTGAATTAATAAGTAAGCTTAAAACATCTAACACTTTCCACAATTTAACGTTAAATACTCATAATTCAACACGTGATCCAATAAACACATGTACTGATCAAGATAATGAATGGTTCACTCAATTTCGGTTGCTTACTTTCAGAGTTTTGGGACTACGGTGGAACAGTCACGTCACGAAGAGTAGTGTTAGACACGGTGAACTACAGAGAAAGATTAAAAAAAGGATGTGGTTAGAAGACTAAAAAGAGGTGCAGAACTGATAAAGGTGGACTGGGATTGTATATATATATATATATATATATATATATATATATATATATATATATATATATATATATATATATATATATATATATATATATATATATATATATATATATATATATATATATATATATATATATATATATATATATATATATGAGAAAAGCCGAAGAGGAAAGACAGAATGGTTCAAAATATTCCATTCATTGCGTGTTTGAGAGGTGTGATGGTAACATTTGTATAACTTGTCAGATGTATTAAAAATCTCATATATTAGCATCTTTCGTATGCTAGCCCTTGTTAACACAGCTGTTTCAGTGAGTACAACATTAGTTGTAAGAGACGAAACAGTATCTACAACAGCTCGGCACATGATTATAGCGAGAAGATAAATTCTGATAAAATAATTTCAGTCATTACGAGTTAACCAAAAAATGTACAGTTTAAATATAGTTAATAAAGTTTATTTATATTACATTTATAATCATGTTTGAAAATATTTTCCCTGTATATTTAGTTATTGTTATGAATTTATAAGAAATCTTTATTGATTATGAATATTTTCAACATCAACTCTATTTGGAAACTTAAAAGAGTTCAGATGAATGATCTGTTTATACAAAATGCAACGAAGTTAAAGTTAGAAAAAAAAATAAAAAAAAAGATGTTTTATCTTAAAGGTAAACAAAATGTACTGGAAAAAAAAAAAATGGTTTAATTTAAAGGGAAACATTTATGAGTCTCCAGAACTGAATAGGGAAATTATAGTTCTAAAGATAGGCCTATGCAAAAGGCCTAAGTCTTTTTGTAAGACGTATTATGGCTATTGACCAGAATAAGATACTAATTTAAAGAGAAAAAAAAATAGGATCAGGTAAAGATTAACGACCCCCGGAACATGAAATAACTCCGTAATTTGTTAGGATACTAACAATTTACGGTATTATTTTGTTCCGGGGTCGCTAAGCTTTACATGATGTAAAGGATATCTATACCTTTCTAGTTACGATTTTTACCATGCTTTCACAGTGTTTGACAATACTTATCTATTATAAATAAAAACATTCTTCCCATGCCGGGAATCGAACCCGGGCCTCCTGGGTGAAAGCCAGGTATCCTAGCCACTAGACCACATGGGACATATTAATTCAAGCTTTTTTCAGGACTTTTGTAAATTTATTTTAGAAGATATCTTCATGAATTTCTTGTTAGGTGTCAAAAGAAATTTTGGATCAGAAAAATTAATGAGTATCGACCTCCAGCACATTAAATACCTCCCCACCCCATATATTGTCAGGTTCCGTTAGTTATGATTAGATTAGACATTTACCCGGTTCAACCTGACCTAACCTCTCAAACATAACAATTTACGAGGGTTATTTAATGTAATGGGGGTCGTTAATCTGTACCTGATCCATATTCTATCCTACACTTAGTTTGGTTGATATAGTTTGAATTAACTGTTTTTCTTAATGAGAGAGAGAGAGAGAGAGAGAGAGAGAGAGAGAGAGAGAGAGAGAGTCTTGTTTGCAAATGAAATCAGCATAGTTCTAAATAAGATACATATGATTTTGCAAATCTTACTTAATATATATCAACATAGCCTTAGCAATGCAAAGAGAGAAATATAACCTAAAAGAAGAATATAAAATTTTCTTTAATTAAAAACCGTTCCTAGGAGTTACAGAGTAAGAATTCGTCAACTTTTCATCAGGATATTATGGTATGCGCATAAAACGACTCCTTCGAAACGGATTCGAGGCAATGACCAATCAGGATATTATGGTATGCACATAAAACGACTCCTACAATACGGATTCGAACCAGTGACCTATCAGGATATTGCTATGCACATAAAATGACACCTTTGAAATGGATTCGAATCAGTGACCTATCAGCATACTATTCTATGCACATAAAACGACTCCTTCGAAACGGATTCGAGGCAATGACCAATCAGGATATTATGCTATGCACATAAAACGACTCCTACAATACGGATTCGAACCAGTGACCTATCAGGAAATAATGCTCTACACATAAAACAATTCCTTCGAACCAGTGACCAATTAGGATATTGTGCTCTGCACATAAAACGACTCCTTCCAAACGGATTCGAACATGTGACCTATCAGGATATTATGTTATGCACATAAAACGACTCCTTCGAACCAGTGACCTACCAGGATATTATGCTATGTACATAAAACGACTCCTTCGAACCGGTGATCTATCAGGATATTATGCTATGTACATAAAACGACTCCTTCGAACCGGTGACCTACCAGGATATTATGCTATGCACATAAAACGACTCCTTCGGAACGGGCTCGAACCACTGAGCTATCAGGATAATATGCTCTGCACATAAAACGACTCCTTCGAACCGGACTCGAATCCGTGACCTATCCGGAAATTATGCTCTGCACATAAAACTCCTTCGAAACGGATTCAAACCAGTGAACAATTAGGATATTAAACTATGCACATATAAAAAAAATAAAAACGACTCCTTCGAACTGGATTCGAGCCAGTGACCTATCTGGATATTACACTAAGCACATAAAACGACTTTTTCGAACCAGTGACCAACCAGGATTTTATGCTATTTACATAAAACGACTCCTTCGAACCAGTGATCTATCAGGATATTCTGCTCTGCACATAAAACAACTCCTTCGAACCGGACTCGAATCAGTGACCTATCAGGAAATTATGCTCTGCACATAAAACAACCCTTTTGAAACGGATTCAAACCAATGACCGATTAGGATATTTACTATTCACATAAAACGATCACTTCGAACTGGATTCGAGCCAGTGACCTATCTGGATATTATGCTATGCACATAAAACGACTCCTTCGAACCAGTGACCTATCTGGATATTATGCTATGCACATAAAACGACTCCTTCGAACCGGTGAGCTATCGGGATATTATGCTATGTACATTAAACGACTCTCTCGAACCGAATTCGAACAAGTGATCTATCAAGATATTATGCTATGTACATAAAACGACTCCTTCGAACCGGACTCGAACCAGTGACCTATGGATATCTGATAAATAACCAACTACAGTCCACCGCTCTACCAACTGAGCTATCGAAGGCAATACCTATCTAAAAGTAACCCCGTTTAAAAATATTTTAAAACATTAAAACACAAATCACCCCCAGCATAAATTCCCCAGTTCCAATCCGTCTGTGGCCATCCCCAAACAGGGACTAATAGAGACACATTAAAAAATTTCTTAGGAATGTTTCAGTGGAAGATAAATCAACGATGGATAAACCATGCATATCAATAATAATAATAATAATGGCTTTTCTTTCCGTACACAGATTACATAAGAAGAGAGGTTGTGGCAAGAATTGTAATGGATACAAGTTAGCAGGAGGGTCTGCCCCTCCCATTTTTCTTCTATGTCAAATTCGTTCTTCTCCTCCCATATTTTCCCATTCTATCCCCCCTCTTCGGTGATGTCACCGTCACTGAGTTTGATCCCCCCCCCCTAATCAATCCCATCCTTATAGAGGAGGGTAGTAAGTTTCTGATTGCAGATGATACCATGACATGATTCAGATGCAAATCTGTCAAGATCTATTGACAAATCTGCTAATGTATTTGGCAGGAGAAAGCTAAGAATTATTATAGAAATAAATCAGGTTCGTCAGGGACGGGTAAGAAAAAATGCCCTTTATTGGGCCCGAGCATAAAGAAAACACACAGCAAAGAGAAACAAAGATGGGGAGTGTTGTGACTTGTAAGAAGTGAAGGGATGATAACTAGTGATGAAGAAATCTGTAATAGTGATGTAGGCAACATAGAGACAAGGGTCACGTGGTACTGAACATTATTGATGAAGTTGAGAAATATAGCAAGAGTTGTGCGAGCCGGAAAGCGACTAATGCGGGTTCGATCCCACATCGTGTTGTTAGAAAGGGCATCCAGCCTTAATCCCCCCAGTTCCAGCATGACTGTGCCCACCCCCATGCGAATGAGGACTAATTATGCACAATAAAACGATGCACACGCTGAACCTGAGGCGAGGAAGGTATACGTTTGCCTGATTGTATTTACGAAAAGAGCACTATTCTCTTAATTCTCCGTCTCCTACGAATGCAATTAGCATTTACTGCTTCCTCGCTCAGCGAATTCCAGTCATCGACTCTTCTTACATAATTGTGGAAAAAGAATATGGGGGGAAAGAATAAGGGGAAAAAGGATAAGGGGGAAAAGAATAAGTGGAAAAAGGATAAGGGGGAAAAGAATAAGTGGAAAAAGGAAAAGGTGATAAAGAATAAGGGGAAAAAGGATAAGGGGAAAAAGAATAAGTGGAAAAAGGATAAGGGGAAAAAGAATAAGTGGAAAAAGGATAAGAGGAAAAAGAATAAGTGGAAAAAGGATAGGGGGAAAAAGAATAAGGGGAAAAAGGATAAGGGGAAAAAGAATAAGTGGAAAAAGGATAAGGTGATAAAGTATAATAGATTTAGCAAGAGGGTGGCGTGGAGAGCAGGTTAATTACCATTGAATTATTAAATTGAGTAATCTACAGGTTAAAAGATTTTTTGTTCACCTAATCTATATGGGAAAATTCTAATTCTGTTCACCTAATTCTGAAATGTATAAGGAAAAACTATTTTTTTTCACCTGATTAATTCTATTTCAGGAATTTCAATTTCATACAATTATGCTGATATAATCATTCTATATTGTAGTACATATCTTATACCTACAATGGGAGATAAACCCCCTCCATTCTCAAAATTACTTCCCATGCCGGGAATCGAACCCGGGCCTCCTGGGTGAAAGCCAGGTATCCTAGCCACTAGACCACATGGGACATAAACTTTTCAGAATCCACTACAAAAGAAAATTACATTGCACTGATTTTTAATATAAATATATATTCCTTATTTAGTTCAAGCTTACTTCAAGGGTTGGCTTGAACAAACTAGCAAGCAGATTTTATATCTAGTGTTCTTCAGGGATTCAGATTCATAGAGAGAAATAAATTTACAAAGCTAATGATTTTCTGGGGGTTTCAGTAAGTCTTGTCTTCTATTTTTTTTTTTACTTTATTCATTTATTATTATATTTACACCATGAAGAATTTTGACTTATTTCATTCAGGTTAATTTTTTTTCATTACTTGATTGTTTTGTTTCCTGAAGATGCCTAACACACACACACACACAATATATATATATATATATATATATATATATATATATATATATAATATATATATATATATATATATATATATATATATATATATATATATATATATATACTCCTTGTAATAAAAATACGCAAGTGAAATAATTCTTTGACTGGCTCACAATAATAATAATAATAATAATAATAATAATAATAATCGGGCTCTAACCAAGTTAGCTTTTAAGCTATATAAAAGCGAAATGTATCACAGGCAAATTGTATTAAAGAGCGGAAAACAACTCCTTCGAACCGGATTCGAACCAGTGACCTATGGATATCTGCTCTGCCTACCTCTACAGTCCACCGCTCTACCAACTGAGCTATCGAAGGGCCTGACACGTGAGGATGCCAGCACTAAGAACAACAGGCAATGCTTTCCTTGCTAAGAAAACTTAAATTCGGACTTAGAAAATAGAATTCCAAAGATCTGGAAATAAAAGATATTGGCATTATATATATATATATATATATATATATATATATATATATATATATATATATATATATATATATATATATATATATATATATATATATATATATATATATATATATATATATAATACATTTCTGTTCAATTTACACTTGTTATTAATACATAAGCTTGAATGATACATAGAAAACATCGGAAAATATTGTATCAATAAAGCAAACGCATTTGTGTAAATAAACACACAACGATGATAATAATAATAATAATAATAATAATAATAATAATAATAATAAAGCAATATTAAATATATCGATTTTGAAGTATACAAAATACTTTTCAATATTAACACTACAAAAAAATTATTTTATCAACGGTGTATATGTTCTCTTATAGTGAATAATAATAATAATAATAATAATCTAGCTATATCACTCCAAAAATAACAATAATAATAATAATTAATAATAATAATAATAATAATAATAATCTAGCTATATCACTCCAGTAATAATAATAATAATGAAAATAATAATAATTTAGCTATATTACTACACAAAAATAATACTAATAAGAAAAATATTGACAAGAATAATAGTACAGTGGTAACGCGCTGGCTTCGCATTCACGAGGTCGAAAGATCGGTCCCCGTCCAAGACCGAGAGTTTAAGCTGTTTACTGGCAGGAACTGCTGTGGTTGGACATCACAGTGGGGGGTTGGGGCTTGCCCTGGCTGACGAATACCCATTGTATTGAAATGGAAATAAAGGTTAAATTTAAAATTTAAAATGTATTGGCGAGGCTACTGCAGGCTACCTACTCACGGCCGCGATCCCACTACTGGTCGACACGGATGCTTTTGGCTGCTGGGTTGCCCCCCTGGCCCAGTTCGCATCTCCTTAGAACAACCTGGACGCCCTTAGCTACCCAAGGGTGGCCATGTTGATGCCGACCTTAGTGCGGACGCCCACTCAACATAGGCAGATCTGCAGCAGTGCTCCCCACCTCAAGCCATCCACTGGCCCAAGCCACCGTGTAGCCGGTTTACAGGGCGACGCCGCGCGCCCCAGCTGACATACGGTGGCTTGGGACTTCTTTTAAGAAAATTGGCAAAGTCCTTGCACTATGGTTTGGAGCTATACGACGAGATTCTCTCTCTCTCATTATGCTTTTCGTTTAAGTTAAAATATTGGGATAGCATTTTAGTTAGATAATAAAAATGATATATATATATATATATATATATATATATATATATATATATATATATATATATATATATATATATATATATATATATATATATATATATATATATATATATATATATATATATATATATATATATATATATATATATATATATGATCAACTGAAGAATCTCCCCCAGAGTACCCAACTGAAAAATCACCCCCAACTCAGATCAACTGAAGAATCCCCCCAAAAGTGCCCAGCGTAACAATTTCCCCCAATTGAACTCAATGACAACAACATTATTCAGATTAGCTTAGGTTAGTCTCGCTAATGACTGTACGGGCTAACATGTTAGCTTATATATACAATTCTGCCTTTGTAATGCCGACCAATATTGACCTCAACTTGAGTTAATCCATAATTCTGTGACGTATCCAGATGGATAACCTAACCTAATCTGAATAATGTTGTTGTCTTTGAGTTCAATTCCTTCCCATAACTCATTTGACAATCTTGTTTTTAATCGCGCAAAGGTACCTAACCCGACACGACACCGACCCAGGCCCCATCTGTGATCAACTGAAGAATCTTCCCCCCCAACTCAGATCCACTGCAGAATATCCCCTGGGAGGGTCTGGGGGGAGATTCTTCAGTTGACCGTATATATATATATATATATATATATATATATATATATATATATATATATATATATATATATATATATATATATATATATATATATATATATATATATATATATATATATATATATATGACTTTGTTTATATATGCGGCTGTATCTCACTAGCCTACAAGAGTTAGCGTTGGTTTTGGTTTTGTTCATCCACTTATTTTTCCATTTATATATCCATGACTATGTTTTTCTCGTTCCTATCTACAATTTACCATTCCTACCCGGTGGTCCCTCGGGGGTTAAAAGCGTGCACGCAGCCCCATCAACTGTCCCTTCTTCACCGCTATCCGATCCATCTTTCCTCTTCCCCTACAACTCAAGGCATCAATCTAACACGTCAAATACAAAGTGACTTCTAACCCTGGGAAAGATATCTTGAAGCTTTTCTTTCTATTTGCAGATAAGACAAGTCCTCAATTCAAAGTTCCCTCACCTGGGGCCCAGCATGACCTGTCTACCCCTGGGTGGATATCTACAACGAACGAACGTTGGTTTTGGCTCTGTAAACAACAGGTACATTGATACGGACTTGGAGCATGCCCTTAGATGAACTGGCCTCCCCCCCCCCAGTATCTATCAAAACAGGTTTGTTCTTTTTTTATAAATAACCTTTTTCATAGTAAATCTGTCCTTTTTTATTCTCAAACTTCGGCAACCCCAGTTCGAAATGCCGATGGTATCAGGGTTGCCAGGTGTTTGAGCATGCACAGGGTCACACTCTATGAATATATTAAAAAAAAAAAAAAAGGCAAACCCGTTCCCAGACTAGAGACTAGATTCTAGAGGGAAATGTTTTATCATAGAAAACGGATTTTAATTTATTGAGAAAACGAGGCAAATATACTTTCTAGTTTGGTAAAATAGGTAATATCGCTGGACATCTAATTACAATTTGCTACTGAATCCTAAAACACCATTTTCGAGATTTCTAATTGACAAATTCCTTTTTAATAACCTAATTTAATCCTACAAGGTGTAATAAGCATACAAAAAATCTAAATTTGGTATATAAGATACCACTGTTATCTTAAATATAAGAAAAAAAAACATACGACTACAAAAAACTTAATTGGAAATTTGCTGTATGCGCTAATATCTACCTATATACATGAGCCATTTTTCCCTTATATGGGGAGTGGCTGAGTCAAGGCAGATTACTCTGACTCTTTGAGGGAAGAAAATACAGAGGGAGATATTCCAAGTCCCCTCGCTCCGTCCCATATAGTCGACTCTTACGAAACTCAGGGGAAAAAGGAAAGTATACTAGCCCTCCCCCCTCAGGGGGACGATAATATCAATCTAGGTAATAGCTAGAAACCAATAGTAGAAAGATTTCTAAAAGAGAAAAATACTACAAATGAAGAGAATTTACATTAAATATCTGATCAAAAGTTATATTCTGAACAATGATTTTAAGACTGAAACTTCAGAAGCTAAACAGAAGGATATTTTGTAAAAGGATAATTTATTTTTATAAAAGAATCGTTGCTCCTTTGATAAACTTAATGAAGAAAAATTATCATCAAAATTTAATATGGACAGATTTTCTCATTAAAATGAATAACCACTAAATATATGCCCTAATTATTAGTCTACATATAAAATATATCTGGGAAAAGCTGACACCTTAATAGTACTGTACTAAATCAGCTCTCTCTCTCTCTCATGACTAATAATATAAACAATAACATTTATATCTGAACCTTTTTTCCTTCCCACATTAAAAAAAAAATCCACAGGGGATCCCCATTTATTGTTAGATATGAAGGGGGGGAGGCAGATAAAACCCTGACATATCCCACAGTAACGTTTTGCAGCAAGAATCTCTATGAAAATCACGAATTATTTTTACAAATGCACTCGACTCATTTGGTGATTAAATTTATTTATTTCCTATGATATTTTTTTTTTTGCGTTTTGATTGAATATGACCTTGAAAACCATGGAAAATAATATGCTGACAAAACCTAACTAAAAAACATTAATTTACGACATTTTCACTATGGTTTTTGATGTTTCAGAATGAATGTGACCTTGAAAACAGGTAAACTACTATTTGTTTTAGATTAGGTTGGGGTAGGTTAAGTTAGCAAATATTTCCTGACAGTTTTCAAGGTCAAATATATTCAAAAGACATCAAAATTCATAGGAAAAATATATCACCTCCAAATTGAGATGGACAAAATTGAAAAAAAAAAAAAAAAAAAAAAGGAAGGAAAAATACCATAATCACCTTTGGGTCAACATCAATTATGGCTGTATAGTTTCAAAATTTCGGTATTATATTAGTTATGGGGATTAATGGAATGTTTTTTTTTTATATAAATAGAATAATAGACTAGGGAGGACGCATTCCCCTAAGGGAGGTGAGGTTAGGTTAGTTTAGGACACACCAAAATTGTACAGTTTAGTTGTAAATAGAGAATGATCCCCTATTCTAAAAATTTACCCAAATCTCCTGAATAATAGACTAGGGAGGACGCAATCCCCTAGGTGAAGTTAGGTTAGTTTAGGACACACCATACAATGTACAGTTTTGGTGTTATAAGAGAATAATCCCCTCTTCTAAATATTTACCCAAATTCCCTGAAATCTTGCCACAACAGCCTACTTGGCTAAGCCTACGTTTTATTTGAGTATTGGTGATTCTCTACTGGGAATCCAGGTAAAAAAGTAACAGGAAAAGTCTAACCTAACCTAACCAGACTGTTTTTACAACCCAATATTGTGACTCTTTATCCTGTGACTTTATTAACAGCTATGTGATTACCTAATTGTGTTTACGGGAAAGAGCCCAAAGCTCGTATCTTCCCGTCTCCTCATCGGTTCCATTTTATACTTAGTCATACTTATCATACCTGTCCTTAAAACTATGGATTGAGATAGCATTAACTACCTCCTCGCTTAGCCAATTCCAATTATCAACTACTCTTACACTGAAAAAGTATTTCCTTACATCCTGCAAACAAGTTTTCTTACGAAGCTTCAAACTATGACCTCTAGTTCTAG